CCTACTATGCCACAGTGCCAGCCCTGGATAGAATGTTCTGTATAAATGTCAGTTAGGTCAAACTGATGGATGTTGTTCAAGTCTTTCATACCCTTGCTTATTTTCTGCCCATCTGTATGTCAGTTCTTAAGAGAGAGTATTAAGATCTCCAAGTATAATTGTGATTTTCTATTTGTCTTTATAGTTCTATTTTTTTTTGTTTGTGTATTTTGAAGCTCTGTTATTAGGTACATAAAGTTTAAAATTTTTGATGAATTGACTCCCTTATCACGAAGTGATCTTCTTTATATATGGTAATATTCTTCACTCCAAAACCAACTTCATCTGATATTAATATAGTTATTCCATCTTTCTTTTGATAGCTTATCCAATCTGACAACCTCTGCCTTTTAATTAGAGTATTAAACCATTTACTTTTGTTTTGCACTTCAAAGAAATATATAAGGAGTTGTTTTGTTTTAATTGTGGTAAAATATACAAAATATAGTTTGCCATCTTAACCATTTTCCAGTATACATTTCAGTTGTGAAATTATATTCACACTGCTGTGCAACAAACCTCCTGTGCTTTTTCATCTTGCAAAATTGAACTTCCATAACAATTCAGCAACAACTCTGCATCAGTTCTGTAGCAATTCCCCCTCTCCGGGATCCGGGCAACCACTGCTCTGCTTTCCGTTCCTATGAGTTTGGCTGTTCTGGATTCCCCCTCTAAATGGAATCATACAGGCCGGTGCTGTGGCTCACTAGGCTAATCCTCCACCTTGCGGCGCCGGCACACCGGGTTCTAGTCCTGGTCGGGGTGCCGGATTCTGTCCCGGTTGCCCCTCTTCCAGGCCAGCTCTCTGCTGTGGCCTGGGAGTGCAGTGGAGGATGGCCAAAGTGCTTGGTCCCTGCACCCCATGGGAGACCAGGAGAAGCACCTGGCTCCTGGCTTCAGATTAGCGCGGTGCGCCGGCCACAGCGCGCCAGCCGCGGCGGCCATTGGAGGGTGAACCAACGGCAAAAGGAAGACCTTTCTCTCTGTCTCTCTCTCTCACTGTCCACTCTGCCTGTCAAAAAAAGAAAAAATAAATAAATGGAATCATACAGCATATGCTTTATTATAAGAGTGTTTATTGACAGATTAAGCCCACCATCTTGATCTTTGCTTTATATTTGTTCCATTTCTTTTTTGCTCTTTTTTCCCCCATTTCTGCCTCTTTTGGATAATTTTTTTTAACTTTTATTTATAAATTTCCAAAGTACAGTTTATGGATTACAATGGCTTCCCCCCCATAATTTCCCTCCCACTCGCATCCCTCCCATCTCCCGCTCCCTCTCCCATTCCATTCACATCAAGATTCATTTTCAAATATCTTTATATACAGAAGATCGATTTAGTGTATATTAAGTAAAGATTTCATCAGTTTGCACCCACACAGAAACACAGAGTGTAAAATACTGTTTCAGTACTAGTTATACCATTACTTCACATTGGACAACACATTAAGGACAGATCCCACATGAGGAGTAAGTACACAGTGACTCCTGTTGTTGACTTAACAATTTGACACTCTTGTTTATGGCGTCAGTAATCTCCCTAGGCTCTAGTCATGAGTTGCCAAGGCTATGGAAGCCTTTTGACTTCGCTGACTTCGATCTTATTCAGACTGGATAATTTCATCTCCATTGTTGGGCTTAATAGTTATAATTCTCTGTTTTGTAATTTTAGTGGTTGCTTGGAGGTTTAGGATATGTACCAGAGTCTGCCTTCTCCACTTCACATACAGGATAAGAACCCTACTTGAATATACTTCCATTTCTCCCTTCCTGACCCTTCTGCATTTATTATCTACCTTTTACTTATACACATGTATAACTACATGTACTTTTATTTAAGTCATCATATTTTTAAAAAAGATTTATTTATAATTTATTTGAAAGTCAAAGTTACACAGAAGGAGAGGCAGAGGGAGAGAGAGGTCTTCCATCCACTGGTTCACTCCCCAGATGGCTGCAACGGCCAGAGCTGTGCCCCTCCGAAGCCAGGAGCCAGAAGCTTCTTCCAAGTCTCCCACGTGAGTGCAGGGGCCCAAGGACCTGGGCCATCTTCTACTGCTTTCCCAGGCCATAGCAGAGAGCTGGATCAGAAGAGGAGCAGCCAGGACATGAACCAGCTCCCATATGGGATGCCGGCACTGCAGGCTGGGGCTTTAACCTGCTGCACCACAGTGCCAGCCCCCTCTACAATTAATCTTAACGAGTATATTGGGGCCGGCGCCATGGGTCACTTGGTTAATCCTCCGCCTGTGGCGCGGGCAGGCGTTCTAGTCCTGGTTGCTCCTATTCCAGTCCAGCTCTCTGCTGTGGCCCAGGAGGGCAGTGAAGGATGGCCCAAGTCCTTGGGCCCCTGCGCCCATGTGGGAGACCAGGAAGAAGCACCTGGCTCCTGGCTTCAGATCGGAGCAGCTCCGGCCATGGCGGCCATTTTGGGGGTGAGTATAATTTTCATCTTATTCATTGTAGTCCTTGTTACCAAAGTTCAGTTTGGAGCATTTTTATATTTTGCCTTTTAAAATTTATTACCTTTATTTGTTTGAGAGACCGAGAGAGACAGCTGCCATCTGCTGGCTCACTGAATGATGCCCACTACCCCTGGGGCTTGTCCATGCTGAAGCTGGGAGCCAGGAACTCTGGGTCTGCCACTCCCCATCACCTGCTGCCTCCAAGAGTGCACATCAGCAGGAACCTGGGGTCAGGGAGCGGCAGGCGGAGCTGAGATCAAACCCAGGCACTCTGACATGGGGTGGCGGCAACCCAGGAGGCAACTTAACCACTACACAAAACACCTACCCATGCCTGGTGTTGGACATACAGAATACGGTTATGAGAACTGAACATCCTTGGCTGTCAGTTCTAACACCTTGGTCAGTTCTGGGTCAGCCTTGACTGATCTTTCTCCTCTCTATGGGTCATATTTTGCATGCCTGCTAATCTTCTATTAGGTGGCCGATATTGTGAATTCTTGGGTACAGAATATTTTGCTATTTCTATAAATATTTTTGAGTTTTGTTATGGGATTCAGTTGGATTACTTTGCAATGGTTTGATCCTTTTGGTCTTACTTTTGAGTTATTAGGGCCATTGTTCAGCTTCCTTGGTTTGTCCCCGCCCCCACACCCCACTCTCAGTAACTATCCTCCATTGCCTGAAACATTCCTGAACTCCAGACGTGTTCTCTCTCTCTCTCTCTCTCTCTCTCTCCAGAGAAGAGAGTAAATCCAGTCCCTATGGCTCCTGGCTGGAAGCAGTAGTCCTTTCTCTTCTAATTATCTTTTATCCTATCTAGCAACTAGAATAATGCTGTGCACATAGTTGGTTCATTCACTGCTTCCTGAATTAATTCATCTTTGCAAGTAGTGACATTCAAATAAAAATCCATTTAGAAATTCAATAGTAGGTGCTTGGGTTAATTTTTTTAAGTTCGATGACAGATTATTATAATTCTTACTCAAATGAAGACCATATTTGTTTGTGAAATTGCATGGAGCCAGATTTTAAAACTTGATGACACTAGACAGCAATGTTTTCGACATGCTTGCTTCATGTTGGACCTGCCTTTAGTTATTGTTTTGAATTGTTTTCTTACAAATGACAAATATGGGGTCGACACATTATGTTTATTGTTACCACCAGACTCTCCCTGAAAGCCTGGCACATAGTAAACACTCAGTGGGTATTTAAAGGGTGGTTGAATGAATAGAACCCTTTTTGACTAGAATGCTTTCTACTGCACCAAACGATCTAATTTTGTTTCAGTACCATCTCCATCCAGCATACCTATCTTCCCATTATATAAACCGAGGCTCTGTTTCTAATAGACTCATGCTGCTTCTGGTCTCCTCACAAGGTGCTCAGTTGGCCCTCGCTGTTGAACGTTGCTTTGTCAAAGTCAACAAAATGAATATTTCCAATGCTCATATTCTGCTTTGGAAATCTTAACCGAAGAGACCTGACTTATGCTCTTGGAAGCATCAAACGTGCCTAACTCTTTCACTTCGAGCTTGTGGAATCCCAGGGTCCCGGCCCCTCTCCCACGTCTCTCTGTGGCCCAGCCAAGTGTTCACATCTTTCAAGCCCAGCTTAAGCCGTCCTTCCTCCGGGAAGCCTCCCCCCAGCACAGTCATCTTCCCTTCTGTCTGCTCCCGAGAAAGGCCTTTTCCACTCAGCCGGGACCTCACCAGCCAGCCCGCCTTGTCAGACCCTCTGTCTTTGTGAGGAAGTGTCTGTCTCGACGGCTGGTAACCGCCTGCAGAAGGGAGGCCCTCGTGGACATGACATGGCCGTAATGACAGCAAGAGCCCACATCCATTCAGTGCTCACTGGGTGCCACGCCCTGCGCTGGGAGTTTTCCACACATGATTTCAGTTCTTCCTGACCACATTCTAAGGGGGTAGTACTGTTTCTGTCCTGTCTCCTAGATGAGGAAAGGCCACTTGCCCCAGGGAGCTAACAGAACCAAGATTCAAACTCAAGCACGTTAATGCTGGAGCCTGAGCCCGGGACCACAACCACCAGCACACCTGCCATGGCACCGGGGGTATCACAGTTGCTCCATGTATCTGTTGAGGGAAAGAACACATGGAGGCTTGGCCTGTGCACGAGAGGCATTGCCTCACATCCTTGCTTGTTTCCTGTCACTACTCATACATGCTTGCTATTTATGGCGTGAGTATGTGTGTGTGTATGTGTGTGTGTGTGAGAGAGAGAGAGAGAGAGAGAGAGAGAGAGAGGGAGAGGGAAAGAAAGAGGGAGAGGGAGAGAAAGAGGGAGAAAGAGGGAGGGAGAGGGAGAGAGGGAGAGAGAGAAGGAGAGAGAGAGGGAGGGAGAGAGAGAGAGGGAGAGGGAGAGAGGGAGAGGGAGAGAGGGAGAGGGAGAGAGGGAGAGGGAGAGGGAGAGAGGGAGAGGGAGAGGGGAGAGAAGAAGGAGAGAGAGGGAGGGAGAGAGGGAGAGAGGGAGAGGGAGAGAGGGAGAGGGAGAGAGGGAGAGAAGAAGGAGAGAGAGGGAGGGAGAGAGGGAGAGAGGGGGAGGGAGAGAGTGAGAGAAGGAGGGAGAGAGGGAGAGAAGGAGGGAGAGAGGGAGAGAGGGAGAGGGAGAGAGGGAGAGAAGGAGGGAGAGAGGGAGAGAGATCCTGTGTGGTCCAGGAGGAAAAAGAGGATAGGAAGTGAGCTGCCTGCACCTCTCTCCTCCCTTGCAGCTTGGGCAGAGGGCAAGTTGAGGCAGTTCTTCTCCCCCCACCCTTGCTTTCAGAGCCAGCCTGCAGACTGCAGCAAGGGGGAAGCAGGAAGGAAGGCATGGGGGCTACTGACAGCCTCGCCATCACTGGTTTCTGGGGCCCTGGCTTCTCAAGGCTCAGTCAACCGGATGTGCCTTTAGCTTGCCGGAATGTGGCTGGATTTGCAGAGATAAGATCAATCTGACCCTTAATTCCCCAAATGTAATTGATGGGCTTGCCTCCTCTGTGCCACAACACGTCTGGCTACCCGAAATCTGGTAATTATTTATGTAAACACGGTATCCTGCCTTTGTGGATTATAATTGGACTTGCACAGGGACTTACGCATTTGGGACCGCACTGAAACCTTCCTTTTGAAAACACTACCTGAGTCTTTGAAACCCTCCCCGTGGCTCATGGGTAGCTTTCAACTAGCACGACTCTTCCTCCAGCAGGCCTGGGCAAATGCATCCCCAACACTTCTCACCTCTTCTGTTCCTCTCTGAGGATGGGGGAAGGGGACCCCACCCGTCTCTGCCGGACCCAGGCTTAGAGGACATGAGCCCAGGTGGGGCAGGGGCAGGGGCAGGGGGGCTCCGCGGGTCTCCTCATTGTTGCAAGGTGCGTTTTCTGCTCCCACCAAGGATAAACAGGATTAGGAATTTTATGCTATTAGGGAAAGAGGAGAGGTGGCTGGTGCAAGAGAAAGGTTTCGCCTTTCACTCACTCTGCAAGTTCCCCGGGAAGCCCTCGCTGTAAGCGCGTGCACACACACACACACACACACACACACACGAGCGCCAGGAGGATTAGGGGCAAGAAAATGAGCCGATTGAACCAGATGGCCAGGGAGGCCCTCCCCAGAGGCCACTGGGGTGGATGAATCTGCACCTTTAAATAACATTAATTTCTGAAAGGCCCAAATTGTTCCTTAGTGACTGCACGGAACTCGGCTTCCATGTGATTTTACAGCACCTCTTCTGGTTGAAGGTAGGAGCTGCCGCTTTCTGGCAAACCAGCTTTGGAGAAATTCTTCATACTGGTGCCACCTGTGAGGAATCTGGTTCCTAATTAGGAAAAAAATAACTGTAGGAATCAAGGTGCTTGGAAAAATGGATTTTGGCAGAGAAAAAAAAAAAAAAAAACCAGCACCCCTGAGTGATCTCAACAAACCACCAAGTTCTAATGCCAGCTGAAACAATCGTTTCCTCAGTAGCTGGGGGCAAACCACTTAACCTCAGTTTCCCCATCTGTAAAATGGGGTTAATAATACTTACCTGCTGCAGGAACGCTGTGAGGTTTTAATTGGGTAATGGTTGTGGAGCCCTTTGATGTAGGAAGTTTTATTAACTTGCAAGGGATTCCCTGAGGCCAGAAAAAGCAGTTAAACCCAAGAGAGAAGAAAGGCATTGAAAGGAAAGCAAAGCCCAGTTAAGCGTTCACTGCCAGCTCTGATTTCAGAATGTGAGTGGAAGCGGTGACCAGCCCTGGGGCTGTCCCATGCATCTGGGGAGGGGAGGCTGAAGCTGCCCCAGAGGGAGCCGGGCTGTGCAGGCCGTGGGGGGCCACAGCAGACAGACAGCCGTGTGTGATCAGCCACGATCGTTCTTTGGCCCCACGGAAGTCCCTTTCTTAGAACAAGTCTCCAACAAGAGAATTACTTTGGGGTCAATCCAACGTCCTTGGCATTGAATTTAGAAACCCCCAACCTCTGGTCTCCTGCTTCCCAACAATTAAATACAGAGAGAACTCGAGGTCTGCCCTCTGGCCGGGGCTCCTGACCGGAGAAGGGTTGGGGCGACAGCGCTGGCCAGAAACCAGCAGACGGAGGCTCTCCCCGACCTCTGTTGCTCACAGCAGGGGAGACCAACCTACACCGCCATGCTGGCTCTGCCCGTGCCTCAGTTTCCCACTCCATAAAAGTAATTTTAACCAGACATCCTTGCCTTAGAGGCCCTGATGGTTACGATTTGGAATGTGAAAATGCACTAAGATTATAAAGCACCCTCAAAGTGTCAGCAAATCCCTACTTTTCCATTGAGAACTTTAAAAATACTTCAGTTATTTGAATACCTGTCCTGCAAGCCAACTCGTTCAGCTAAGAACCCCCCTCCTCCTTCTTCCCCCTCTCTATTTTTAAATCTCCTCTCATCCCCCTGACACGTAGCACGCCCAGTCATCAGTCAAGGCTATTGGACATCAGCTGCATGGACACAGCCCAGTAGAACCACCAACTTGTGCCAGTTTGCCTGGGCCTGTCCCAGTGTTAGCACTGAAAACCTTGTGTACCAGGAACCCTCCCCAGGTCCAAGAAGACCAGGATGGTGGTCACCTTACCAGGAGCTGGCCAAACAGCCGCTGAGCACCATGGGTCTATCACAGAAGAGGTTCTGCGGGGAGGGGCAGAGGAGGGCGTCTCGGGACCCCACCTCTCATTCCTGGCCATACCACTCTCTGTACACTGGGCCTCGGCTTCTGAACATGCAAAGGGAGGGGTGTGAGTCGATGCCTTTTCGCCACGTGGTTTGCAAGGGAGGGGCAGGCCGCACGGCGTGCGCACACGCTGGGGCCCAGAGTCCCTCTCTGCGCATGGGGCTCAGCTCCCTGGTGCTCCCGAGTCCTCGGATGCCCTCTCCTTGTGAGAAGCAAGCGTGCGGCTGAGAACGTGTCAGCCCTCCACAGCCAGCGGCTGGAGGCGGCTCTGGGGGCCGCCTTCTTTCCGAAAATGGGCCTGTTAGACCCTCAAGATGCGAAACTTGCCTTTTCCAAGGCTGTGTTTGGTTTGAGTTTGGCAACATGATTGCTGGGGTCCGAAAACGAAGCCCATGGAAAAGATCCAAGGTTTGCCTTATTGTATTTACTCAGGCCACACGCTCCTGAGTGTGGTGTTCTATACCTGCATTTTATGTTGCAGGGTTAAGGCAGACAAAAGTTCCTGCCGAGAAAGGAGCAAAGGGCGGTGATGGCACCTCGGAGTGTGTTCCGACTTCGTGGTCCAGATCTAGTGGCCAGGATGTCCCCTTTGTTCAACCCCGGTAGACGGAGGAGGTAACCAGGGATGGGATTGGCTACTTTGGGGAGGCGGAGTCTTTTAAAGTGCTCCTGACAGGCGCTTATGTCCATGCCAGCAGAATTCTCCTGGCAGATCAGAACCTGGCTTTTATAGCATTTTTTAAAAAAAAGTAATTTACATTGAGAAGAAACGGGAAACAATGGTTGAATCAAAGCCGCCCTCCGTGGCCTCCCCCTACTCCGCCCCATCTGAAAACAGCCCTGTTTCAATTTCGCCGCTGAGCTCAGCCGGCCTGCTCCAGACGGCCAGACCTCGCACTCCATAAATCGTCTCTGCCCTCGCCCGGAGTTGCTGACTACATGTATTTTGGGGCCCGGCATTAATACCCTCATCCTTGGCTGGTGACATTAAGATTTGTAACTGATAGAATGTGTTTTTAATGTATTTCCTGCAGGTTACTATTAAAGAAATCTAATTCTTCTGAACTTGCAAAAGGTTCTGCTTCCAGTTAAAAAAGCATTGGTGGGGCGGGGCAGGGGGGCTGAGGGGACGGGTTACGGGAAGAATTTCCCCTCGCAGATGGAGTGGGCAGCCAGAGGGCTCGGGGCTCGGGGCTCCGCTCCGCCAGCCGCTCTTCTTCCTCCTGCCTTGTCTGTTCCCTCTGCTCCTTTGCTTTCCTGGGTATGAAATGAGAATAAATATTTGTCTATGAGATGAGGGTGTTGTAAGGATTAATTGGTTGGTGCTTCGGGAAGCCTTTGAAGATGAAAGACGCTCTCTACAGATGCTAAGTAAACTCGTAATGTGTCTGGTTTTAATGAGCCAGGTGAAACCAGTGAGGATGGCTGGAGATTAACTGTGCCTAGTTCAGAGCCTGCCTGGAGGGGCTGGACCGAAAATGGGGCTTGGGGGAGGGGGAGCTCCCCACCGGTTCCCTGGCTGGGATCCCACTCCCGGCTCTGTTTCCTCCCAGTGCAGGGCCTGGCACGTTGGTTCTCCGGCACACGCAAAAGGAACTGAAACGGGCTCTAACCCAGACTCCCCAAATCATGCCCATTGCCTGTCATTCCAGCACGTGGCTTGGGCACGTTCCTTGGCCTCTCTGAGCTGAGGTTCGTCGTTGGCTGGCAGGGGCGGTCAGAGTCCCTGTCTCACAGGGTTGTGGCGGGGATCCACCGTAGAAGTGGCGAGTGGCCATCGAGTTCTTGTGATTTGTATTCAAAGCACTTCATCCTCACCAACTCCTCAAACTCTCACACCTGTCCCACGAGGCAGAGACCAGTGTTCTCACCCTCATTCTACAGGGGCAACACTGAGCCCCACAGAGATTCATTGGTGGTTTCCCCAAAGCCCAGTTCCTAAGTGTGAGCTAGAGCCCTGCGTGGTGCACGTGGCATTGCTCTTGTCTGAACAACAGACAAGTGGCTTGGGCAGGTCTCAGACTGTGCCTGGTTGGCCCAGCCAGCAAAGCTGCGTCCCATGGAGGTTCAACCCAGGACAGGCCCTGAACATGGAGAAGCCTGGAAGGAAGGGGACCAGAGCTGGGGGAGGGAGCCAGCTCGCCGTGCAGGTTTTGGTAACGTGTTAAGTCCGGGCCCACCCAGGGTAGGGACTCAAGAAACTTTGTGAAAAGGGTTTCGTGCCAAATCCTGGTACCTCACACGCCGTCTGGACCATGAGGTCTGCATGCTGAAACACAGAAGCTCCTTGGCTCAAGGGAGGGGTGGCCTGTGTTGTCGCTGTTCCAGGCAATCAGCAAACCAGGAGATCAAACACATTAAGCCCCCTGGAATAGATTTCTGGAGGACCCACGTGCCAGGCCACAATCCTTCCTTCAAGTCCACATGAGGAGCCAGAAGGGGGAACTGACAGCCATGCAGGAGTGATCTCACAGCCCAGCCCCGTGACGTCACAGTGCAGCGCTGACCTAGGAACCAGCTGCAATTTGGGCTGGGGAAGCCCCTGGTCAGAACAGAACCATCTTTAGCAACTGCCGCTGGTTATGAACAGGGAAATGGAATTTTGTTTAAACACGATGTTGTTTTGCAAAGTCTGAGTAACGTGAAAGTCCCTATTTAAGAAGGAGTTGACTCTACATTGAAATTGGTTGGTGTTTCCACACCCACATGTTGACTAAGGCCTTGAAAAACAAACTTCCTGGTAGATCCTGATTCAAATCACCTGGGAGTGAATGCTTCCAGGTACAATCTGTGAGCTGTGAGTGGACGGGCCCAGCCAAGAAAAATCCTGTGTCTGTGTTTATGAAAAGGCAAACAGATCCCAAAAGGAGGCCCTGAGTCCTTGCTGGCTTTGGGCACAGGCCCTCCAGGAAAGAACACATGGATGTGGAGGCGGCCCTAGCACAGCCTCCCAGGGACCCTGCTTAGCCCCATTCCGAGGCCTTCTCAGAAACAAAGCCTGGAGGCCGAGGGGCACGGCGACGCGGAGCCTTCTCTTCCTGAGCACCCCCCATCATGCCACCACGGCACCCACTTTTCCAACACAGAAATAGGCTCAGCGATATGAAGCAGGGTAACCTGTCGCTCCCCCTCTTCGTGGAGGAACGACACAGGACCCTGCGCTGTTGTTTCTGTCTGCTCGGCCCTCCCCGGGTTTGCTGCTGGTTCTTCCCGGGTTGGCTACTATCCCTTCCACCTCCGTGGAAGGGCAGTTCCCCCTGGCCACATTCCCCACTTCCGCAGGGGAGCGGCACACCGCCGGCCGGCTTTCTTGGGGGCTGCACAGGTGTTCCTTCAGCTAGATGTTCCCCTTAGATGTTTCTTGGTGCATGCCGTCTCTCTCCTCCTTTATAGTCCTCCTCCGCCAATCCTAACTCGGCTGCCCACACGCCGAGTACGCTGCTCTCCTCCAATCAGGAGCAAGTCCTACAGTTTATTAGCTGAACTGGAGGCAGCTGTGCAGAAGCTGTTTACTTCTCTCCCAGCGCCATATTGTGGGAGAGCAGATGCATAGAATAAGTCTTAATTCCAGTAACTTAGTCCAGTCCGGATTGCTCCCCACAGTAACCCAAAGTGTTTCAGCAGATGCTCTTGTCTCAGCATAACTAGCTGCAGCCTTCCCCGCCATCCTGCTAAGCGCCCCCCACTGGGTGGTAAATGCTCCGGACAGGACAGACCCAGTGAAGTAAACTGCCCCAATTCAGCTGGCGAGTGGCAGAGTGGGGATCAAGTCCAGGTTCCCCCACCCCACCCTCACCTCGCTCAAAAAGCAGACCTAGGGGCGGGCGTGTGGCGTGGCCGTTAGGTTGCTGCCTGGGACGCCCATATCCCATATTGGAGTGCTTGGGTTCAGGTCCCAGCTCCACTCCTCATGCCAACTTCTGCTGTTGCACACTCCAGCAGGTGATGGCTCAGGTCCTTGGATCCCTGCTACCCATGTAGGAGACGCTGATGGGGTTCCAGGATCCTAGCTTCAGCCTGGCCCAGCCCTGGCTGTTGGAGACATGGGCAGGGGGTGGGAGGGAACCAGCAACTGCAAATTCCATTTCTGTCTCTGAACCTCTCCACATCTCTGTGCCTTTCAAATAAAATGGGGGCGGGGGAGTGGGGTGGAGAACGACCCAGGGAGAGTTCTTCCTCATTGACGATAACAAAAAGGACTCAGGGGAGGGGGCGAACTGCAAAGCCCAGGTGACCCCTTGGGAGCTGCGAGTCTGCTGCCCACCCTGCACCCTGACTTTTACTTAGGGCTTCTCAGGGCCTGCTGAGTGGAAGGAGCACACCGGCCACGTGAGCACTCAGAACACACACGTTCACCGACAACCACCTTGTGTTTGTTTTGTCTGCTGAGCACGGCACTAGCAACTCCTCCGTGAGAATAATGGAAGAACTGGCTTCCCCGTTTGGGCCCCTGGCCCAGCTGCTGCGCCCCAGCCTCTAATTTCAGCCCACCCCACCAAGAGGACCCGCTTTCCTCTGCTGGCTGCCCTGAGATTGTCCTCAGCTGTGTTGTCATTGCTTCTCTGTCTGGCAGTTATCTCTGGGACCCCACTGGGGTCTGTCTGGTGCCCCACGTTCCTCTGCAACATCTATTTATGTGTTGGGACCACAGAACTGACCCAGTGCAAGCTCATTTTTATCAGTGAAGAAACTCAGGTCCAGAGAAGCCAAAAGATAATGCAATTGTGTGCGTTTGCATAAATATAACACTCATTTGAAAGGATGAGACAGATAAAGAGACAGAGGTAGAAAGAGCATTCCCATTAGCTGGTTCACTCTCCAAATGCCTGCTATGGCCAGGCCAAGTCCAGAAGCCGGGAGCTCATGCCAGGCCTCCCACACAGGTGGCAGGATCCCCAACGACTTGAGGTCTCCGCTGCCCCTCAGGATGTGCAGCAGCAGGATGCTGGAGTCAGGAGCCAGAGCTGGGAATGGAACCCGGCACTCGGGGGCAGGCATCCTAACCAGCGCCAAATGCCTGCCCCCATAACTGCAGGTTGAAGGCAAAAGACCAGGTCCCACGGCTCTGAGGCCAGTTCTTTCCGAGCTGTGCTAGTCCTCAGTCTGGCTTGAGGTCCCTTGGTAGGGCGATTCCCTCCATAACACCCGGAGAAACCCTTTAGGTAGTGACACCTGTCGGATGCCAGAGCCCAAGGTGCTTCTGCTACAGTCCCAGGGTGAGCGGCGGGGGCCTCCATTCAACCTCCTGCTTGCATCCTCTCCTGCCTCCCCGCCACCCCGCTACATAGTAATGCACAAACACCCCCAGGGTCGGAGACTTCAGCACCCCAGGTGGCCCTCTGCCGTCCCACAGCTGGCTGCCCGGAACGTCCTCCTCTCGCAGAGCCAAGATGGTTTCCTTTCCCTTCCGTCTCAGTTCTTCCCAGTGATCCAACGCAGGGGAAGTCAGATCGGCTTTCTCCCCAATACCCTTGCAGTCATCAAAGACTCACAACTGCTCCTCCTGCCACTGTTCCTCACGTGCGATTGTTTGGGGCTAGGTAGAAGACAGAGGAAAGGTCGAAGCCCACCTCTGCCTTTTATCGGTTGTGTGGCCTTGGGCAACTCTTTTAACCTCTCTGAACTTCAGTCTGCTATTGGAAACATGGAGAGCTCATGAATACTGCTGGCTTCATTGGGTATTCTGAGGATCAGGTGAGATCATCCGTGGAATTGTCTAGATCCAGTGTCTGGCCCAGTAAGCACTTATAATGGGGAGCAATCAGCATTCTCAGTCTTCTTCGGCTTCCTGCTAGATTTCTCTAAACGCAGCACCAAAGCCTTGTTGCTCCGGAAGCCATAATCGTAGGACGGAATTCCATCATCAGCTGAGACCCACGTTCCCCTGGCCCACACCTGGCTGCTGGAGCTGTCACCCTGATCTGCCCTCTCTCCGTTTGGTGTTCCGTTCTCTGCACTGGTTACAGTGTGTCCTCCGAAGGCTGCCCGTCTTCCTGGCTTGTCACAGCTGTCTGTGTCTCATTCTTGGACACCAGGGGAAGATGACAACCACGTGAGCACCACACAGACCCCACCACGTGAGGCTCTGGCTGGCCTCTCTTCTCTTTCCTTCCCCCACTGCGGGTGCATATGAGCAAAGTGACCCCTCCGAGGCAGCCGGGCCACACTGATGTTCCGCTGGCGACTGTCACACTGGAGCCCTTCTGCACTTTTGAAGTGCAGTGGAGTGGAGTGGATTCCAGCGGAGCTGTAACACGCTGTGCTAAAGCCGCCTCCATGGCCAGGCGTGTCCCTTCGGCTCAGCCGCTAACACGGGAGGCTGGGCCGTTCTGAGCTGTCCTGTCTGGTACTACAGCCCCTGCCCTGGCCTTGTATCACAGGACATGAGGCTATGGGCACTCAAAGGGATAGCTCTGTCTAACCTCCCCCTTACAGATGAAGACACTGGGGCGCAGAGAGGGCAAGTGACTCACCTGAGGTCACACAGCTGCCGAGGGGCAGAAGCAGGGCTGGGTCCCTTGTTCTTACCCACCCTCAAGGCTGATTGAGCCCACAAGGCCCTGTCTCTCTCACCCAGGGAAAAAGGACAGCTACTCTGCAAAAGGCTTCTTGCCTGGACTTCTGAATCCACTGGCTGTGGGGCTTACAAGCACTCTGTGCCCCCGCCACACCAGTTGTGGGGAGAGGGGTCAGGCTGCTTGTCCTGGGGCATCAGCCTGTCTTTGGGAAGGGAAGGCACCCGGCCTATATGGCCCCTTTCCTGGTTCTGTGCCGCGGCCTCTCAGGAGCGGAGGCTGGAGAGGGGCTTCCTCGCCCTTGAATGCCAGCAGAGACCCTGGAACAAGACACACAGCTGCCCCCCTCCCGCCTGGCTGAGGGGTGCCAGGAGGCAGAGCGTGCTTACTGGGGGCTCCTGTCTGCACGGTCTCCCAGTCAGGAGTAGCGTGGTGCGGGGCAGCTTGCGTTGCCTGTAACCCATTCCTGGTTCTGTCCCTTGCTGGCTACGTGATGGGAACAAGTCACTCAACCTCTCTGAGCCCTTTGCCCCCTCTTGTGGAAATACAAGGACAACAGTCCATCTCCTGGACGGTCACTTGGGAACCCACAAAAGCCCCTAACATGGTGCCTTAAACACATGGGGAGTGGGGGAGAGGTTGGGCCATTCATTCCCTTATTTATTCATTTATGTCCTCCCTGCTGTTTTTTTTTTTTTTTTAAAGATTTATTTATTTATTTGAAAGGCAGAGTGACAGAAAGAGAGAGGCAGAAAGGTCTTCCACCCACTGGTTCACTCTCCAAATGGCCACAACAGCCAGCGCTGGGCCAGGATCCTGAAACTCCACCCAGTCTCGCAAGTATGTGTCAGGGACCCACGCACTTAGGCCATCTTCTGCTGCCTTCCAGGTGCAGTAGCAGGAAGCTGGATCTGAAGCAGAGCAGCTGAGACTTGAACTGACGCACTGACATGGGAGGCCACATACACGGCTCCTTAACCTGCTGTGCCACGATACCAGCCCCCTGGAGACATTGTTGGTCAAAACTAGAAGGGTGGTTGGTGGTAGACAGAGGCTAAACACGGGACAGGCTCCCACAAGCAAGAGAGAACAGTGCCAAGTTGAGCTCCAACTGGGCTGCCAGAATTTGGGGGTCCAATTATAAAACAAAGGAGAGAAATGATGCATAGGGCAACAGCAATTCCTGCTACAGTCACACACACACCCAGGGCTGTGACTGAGAGGATTAAGGGGCTATCTTTTCCCAGGGCTATCTCCTTCCAGCAGGGATCAAAGCTTTAAGTCAACAGGGTTTCATGGACTATCAAGCATTAGCCCAGGAGACAGGCAGGATTGTGGCTGGGCGTTCTGGGATTCTCACTCCTGGGTGGCCCGTTTGGAGCCACCGGGCGACCAGCACTCACACGCCTCTGAGAGATGGGGCCCCACAGGTGGGGTTCCAGCCGGGCCCTGCTGCCTTCCACCTTCCGAAAGGTTTTGCCTGAGACGTTTGAAACCCATTTCAGATTGGTTCCGTTTTCCAAGGAGGTGAAATCTGGGCTGGGCAAAAGGCAAGTGAGAGATAAGGGCCTTAATTTCCAAGAAAACAAAAACAAAAAAAACACCAAATTGCCCATCTCAAACCCCTGCATGAGAAACCGGGCAACAGACAAGAGTGAGAATTAGGAAACTTTTTTTTTTTTACTGCTTTTTTTTTTTTTTTTGGCAGGCAGAGTGGACAGTGAGAGAGAGAGACAGAGAGAAAGGTCTTCCTTTGCCGTTGGTTCACCCTCCAATGGCCGCCGCGGCCGGCGCGCTGCAGCCGGCGCACCGCGCTGATCCGATGGCAGGAGCCAGGAGCCAGGTGCTTCTCCTGGTCTCCCATGGGGTGCAGGGCCCAAGCACCTGGGCCATCCTCCACTGCACTCCCGGGCCACAGCAGAGGGCTGGCCTGGAAGAGGGGCAACCGGGACAGAATCCGGCGCCCGACCGGGACTAGAACCTGGTGTGCCGGCGCCGCTAGGCGGAGGATTAGCCTAGTGAGCCGCGGCGCCGGCCAGGAAACATTTTTTAAGAATTATCCCAATGCCACCCTCCTGAACTGAGATTTCTCAATATCTATGGTTTATTGGGCATCTACAACGTTCCAGAAACAGCCCTCAGCAGTCACTTCCCTTAATCTCTCCATCCATCCATCCATGAAGACGCTACACAGTGGGTCAGAGAGATTAAGTAATTTGCCTAAGGCCACACAGCTAGTGTCTGGCCCTAAAGCTCTAGTTCATCCCACAACAGCCTCTTTATCTTCCAGGATGGCCACACGGGGCTCTAACCTATTGTTAAGTGTCTACACCTCCAGTGAAGGAGGAGGCTCATCGCATCTCCTCACTTGCTCCGTTGTCTCATCCATAAACAAACCTCACGTCATGGATTACCTCCCCCCTCCCCGCAAAGAAAGGGGCCATCCATCCTCTTGTGTCCATCTGGGAAAACAGGAGCACACAGTGGTCGAGTGGTTTGTTCACAGCCACACAGCAAACCAGAAAGTCACCCAGAGGCCCTGCCTCCCTCTGCTCTCACAAATAAGCAAGCAGCCAGGGTGCACTGCTCTGTGGGTTTTGCCAGGAAAGCTGGGCTCTCCACCTGGGGAAGACTCCAGACTTCCGTAGGTGTGGGACTCATGGGGCCACAGCGGGGAGAGCAGCCAAGGGAGCGAGGTTGTTTTTGCTGGTGTGAAGGAAACAGCAGTGACTCAAAGGCACACGTGCTCTGACTCCATTCAGCAGAAAAGGCCCATTTTTAGATAGATGCTCTTTTGAGCCATCCCACACCCAATGCCACAAGCCAGCCTTTGTCAACAGGAAGCCCAGCCCAAGGATGCGTCTTGGGTTCCCTGGCACTCACTGCCAGGGGTGACTGCTGGGGGGGGGGTTGGTGGTGGGAACCAGCAACAAGAGGCTAGGCTACCAGACTGAAGGAGCCAAGCCCAGGCAATGACCTTCACGCCTCTAAGGGGGGCAGTTGTGTCCAGCAGCCAGGACCTCAGATTTTCCCAGGCCAGGTCTACCGCGGAACAGCCTGAAATAACTCTGAGGTTCTGGGCCCACGAGGCCGGGAGGGCAGCGGCAGGCACCGTGGGCAGTGGGAATGAGACAGGCCGCTTTGTTGGAGAGGCAAGGAGCTGCCTCCACCAGGCCGTTCCACCTGCCGTTGACAGCTGAGCAAGATGGTGGCCCAAGGCTCGGCTCAGCAAGGAAGCCATTTGTTAAGCTACAACAAATGTCTCAGGGGCAGGTGTTATGGTGCCATTTGGAATGCCCACCATCCCATGTCAGAGTGCCTGGTTCAAGTCCCAGCCAATCCACTTCCAACCCAGCTTCCTGCTAATGTGCATCCAGAGAGGGGGAGGTGATAACTCAAGTGCTTGAGTTCCTGCCTCCTACATGGGAGACCTGAGTTCCTGCCTCCTGGCTTCAACCTGGCCCAGCCCTGGCTGTTGTCAGCATTTGGGGAGTGGACCAGCAAATGGAAGATATCTCCCCCTATCCCCTGTCTTGCTACCTTTCATTAAAAATAAAAAAAAAAAATAAAAAAAAAGAATGTTTAATGGTGCAGTGAACCTGAAACTAATCAGAAGAAATCAGACCATCCAAGGGGCTGGTGCTGTGATGTAGCGGGTAAAGCCACTGCCTGCAGTGCCGGCATCCCATATGGGCGTTGGTTCAAGTCCTGGCTGCTCCACTTCCAATCCAGCTCTCTGCTATGGCCTGGGAAAGCAGTAGAAGATGGCCCAAGTCCTTGGGCCCCTGTACCCACATGGGAGACCCGGAAGAAGCTCCAGGCTCCTGGCTTTGGATAGGCATCTGGAGAGTGAACGAGCAGAGGGAAGGACTCCCCCCAACCCCCCGCCTCTACCTCTCTCTGTAACTCTGACTTTCAAATAAATAAATAAATCTTAAGAAAAAAAAAAGAAATCAGACAATTCAAGTAGAAGAACATGCAGTCAAACAACAATCAGTAGGCCAGCGCTGTGGTGTAGTGAGTAAAGCCGCCGTCTGCAGCATCAGCATCCCCTATGGGTTCTGGTTCTCATCTTGGTTGTTCCACTTCTGATCCAACTCCCTGCTGTGGCCTGGGAAAAGCAGCAGCTGATGCCCAAGTGCTTGGGCCCCTGTACCCATATGGGAGATCCAGAAGAAGCTCCTGGCTCCTGACTTCGGCCTGGCCCAGCGCTGGCCACTGTGGCCATCTGGGGAGTGAACCAACAGATGGAAGACCTCTCTCTCTTTCTGTCTCTCTCCCCCTCTCTCTGTAACTCTGATTTCTAAATAAATAAATCTTTTTTAAAAAGAAAAAAAGAAATGGCCCAAGGTCCAGCAACAGATGCATGGATAAATAAAATGTTTATAACTTATCCTACAGGTTATAGGATAGTACAGGAATAATTTAGGAATATTATCCAGCCATAAAAAGGAACAAAGTTCTGATTCATGCTACAACACAGATGAATCTGGAAAACATTCTGCCAAGTCAAAGGAAGCACACACAGAAGGCCACATGGTGCAAGGTCCCACTCAGATGAAATGTTTAGAATAGACTTATCCATAGAGATGGAAAGTAGGGACTCCGGAGGCAGAGAAATGAGAGGGACTTGTAATGGGTACAGGGTTTTTTGAGAATGAACAAGCTTTTCTGGAACTAGGTAGCAGTAGTAGTCCTGCAACTTTGTAAAATGTACCAAAAAAGCCACTGAATTGTACTGTATCCTTTAAGGAAGAATTTTATATGTGAATTATATCTCAATATAAAAAAAATTTAAACCTTACCATAAAATACAATGTGTGGTCTTTGATTGGACTCCGTATTATTTAAAAACAGCTACAAAGGACATCACTGGGCTCATTAGGGACATTTGAAAATAAACAGTGAATCAGAGGACAGTGAGGTCTCAGTGTTTACCTCCCTGAGTTGGTGACAGGGCCAAGGTCACGGAGGGTGGCGTCCCTGTTCCTGGTGGATACGTGTTGAGGTATTCTGAGCAAAATGTCACATACTGACTGTCAGGTGGTCCCACAATTGCCCCAGGGCGCACAGCTAAGAAAAGACGAAGTGGAGGAATTGGGGACTGCATCTCATGCAGAGCTCAGAGCTTGTCCCTGGAGGCATTTCGGGAATGGTGATGATGGCATCTGCCTCTTGGTGCTATGCGGTGCTACAAGGTGTCACATGAAGCCACTCCAGGCCTGGCCCTGGGAGTGGTCCAAATGTGTTCGGGGCAGGCAGCACTGTTGAATGAAAGGGCCCAGCTCCCCCAAGGGGAGGAGGTACAGGGAGACAGGTCAGAGAGAAGAAACAGCAGCCACCAGCGGGGCAGGACCTCAGAAAACAAGTCCAGGGGACTGGGGACTGGGGTGAGGGGAGCAGGGAGAGGCCCGGCAGAGATGTGTCACACAGGACACAGGACGGGACTGACTAGGGTGATGCCCTAAACCAAAGGAGAGGGGTCGAGCACAGACCTTCCACATTCCAGCTGGGGAAACGGGCACAGGGCAGGGAGTGACAGGGCCCAGAGCTTGCAGCTGGTAGTGGCACGGCTGGGAGAGTATTGGCAGGGCTCCTGGCTGGTGCCCCACCCTGACTGCCATCCTCAGAAGGCAGTTCTGTTAAAGAACTGAAAACCCCCTGGCTACTTAAACGATGGGCATTACTAAAGGGTTCCTTGAAGAATCACCATTGCTTTGAGTACTTTCAATACCTGCTCCCCCACACCGTCTCCCATCTGGTAAGTGGGAAGCTGATATCAAGGGAGACCTATCATCTAATATTTATTGCTGCTCACAGGGCATGAAGCTGGGGAATGTACAAAACCCAGCCAGGTGGATTCTACTCCTATTCTCATTTTGCCGATGACAATGCAGTGCCATAAGATTAAGGAGTTTGGGCCGGCGCCGCAGCTCACTAGGCTAATCCTCTGCCTTGCGGCGCTGGCACACCAGGTTCTAGTCCCGGTCAGGGCGCCAGATTCTGTCCCGGTTGCTCCTCTTCCAGGCCAGCTCTCTGCTGTGGCCAGGGAGTGCAATGGAGGATGGCCCAAGTGCTTGGGCCCTGCACCCCATGGGAGACCAGGAAAAGCACCTGGCTCCTGGCTCCTGCCATCGGATCAGCGCGGTGCGCCGGCCGCGGCGGCCATTGGAGGGTGAACCAATGGCAAAAGGAAGACCTTTCTCTCTGTCTCTCTCTCTCACTGTCCACTCTGCCTGTCAAAAAAAAAAAAAAAAAAAAAAAAAAAAATTTTAAGGAGTTTGACCAAGGCTGCAGCAAGGGAGCGGCAGAAACAGGAAGGAACAATAGAATGTTTTGTTTAATTTGTTTTACGCTATTTATTTGAAAGGCAGAGTTAGAGAGAGAAAGAGAGAGAGGATCTTCCATTCATTAGTTAACTCTCCAAATGGCCATATCCACTGGTTCACTCTCCAAATGGCTACAATGGCCAGGGCTGGCCAGGCCAAAGCCAAGAGCCTAGAACTCCATCCAGGTCTCCCACATGGGTGCAGGGGCCCAAGCACTAAGGCCATCTTCAATGCCTTCCCAGGCGCAATAGCAGGGAGCTGGATTGGAAGTGGAGTAGGTGGGACTCAAACTTTTGCTCTAATATAGGACGCCATCATCACAGGTGGTAGCTTAGCTGTGCCCCAACATTGGCCCTGGTCTATTTGTTTTTATCTCTTCCTTTTAAGTTCCTATCTTCAATGTTTTAATTGTACGTGTTTATGGGGGTACAGTGTGATAACCCATATGTGCATGTGATATGTAATGATCAAATCAGGCTATTTAGCATTTCCCTTCCTTAAAGATTTATCATTTCTTTGGATCTGAAAACTTCAAACTCCTCCCTTCCGCTTCTTTATGAACTACATAATAAGTTGCAGTGAGCTACAGTCAGCCTACCGCACCTGAACACCAGCAGCCATTCCTCCTTCCAGCTGTATTTTGATACCTGTTAATCGGCCTCCTCTATGCCCCTTCCCTTCCTGGCCTCTGGTAGTCACTGACCTACTAATCCCATCACATCAACTTCTTTAGCTTCTACAGCTAAGTGAGAACACATGGTGTTTGTCCGTCTGGGCCTGGCTTATTTCACTTAGCGCACTATCCTCCAGTTCCATCCACGAAAAGCCCCCCCCCCTTTTTTTTATGTAGGTCTTATAACGTACCCAAAACATGATCCTAGGAGGTCATGTGTTTTACAGACTCTACAGGATGACCACACAAGAGCCAGGCCCACCCCCACTTGTCCTCACTGCCTGATCCTTTCTCAGACCCCTCTGCAGCCAGTAAAGCCATGTGTGAATCAGGGCGCAGTCACCAGAGGGTTCTGGAAAAGACATTTTGCTTCTCAGAAAGGCGCCAGTGTGCTGCTGCTTGGGATGCCTTTGTCCTACGTGGGAGTGCCTGGTTTCAGTCCCAGCTACTCTGAACTTCCAGTCCAGCATCCTAATATATCTGTCACTCCTTCTCTCTGCCATTCATCCAAATAAATGAATCTGAAAAAATACAAATTTTAAAAAACGAAAAATGGGAAAGGACCAGGTCCCATTGTGTGTGTGCTTGGCACTATCCACGCCTCCATCTTCCTGCTGAGAGGCAGGATTAACGTGTGACTTTGAACATGTGACAAACCGGGGAACAAGAGTCAGCATATTAGGGATGGAGGCACTCTAGAAAGCCAGAGAGGGGTGAACACCTGGCAAGGTGGTTAAGACGCCAACTTGGGAAGCCCACATCTCATATCAGTGACTGAGTCCCAGGCTGGCTGCACTTCCTGCTAATGTGTAGCCTCGAAGGCAGCAGGTGATGGCTCAATAACTTCAGTCTTTGCAACTCACATGGAACACCTGACAGAGTCCAGGCTCCTAGCTTTGGTCTGGCCCAACCCTGGTTGTTGTGGGCATTTGGGGAGTGAACCAACAGGTGGAAGATTTCTGTCTCTCTGCACCTATCACTTTTTAAAAAATGAAAATAAAGAAATAAAAATTTAGAAAAGCCCAGTCCTTAATCCTATCTGTGACCTGATGAACCTCAGGCCGTCCTCCTCCTTAGCAAGTCAAGGTCCTCAGGGATCCTGCCATTGCTGCCAGGCTTTTGGTTACGTGGAGTTCCACACATCCTAAGTCAAGTGTGTGTGCTTAAATTCTTTTACAGGTGCGGATTCATGTAATACGGATCACAAAAATACGGACCCTACCACTGGCGCTGTGCTTTGGAATACAGGGGCAGATGAGTAGGCCCCAATGATGTATTCTCTGTTCCACTGTCTGGGAGCATGCAGGGGGTCTGAAATGCGTGTGTTTATAAACAGAAGAGTCTACTCTATGCACCTGCGGAGTGCCTGGGATTCTCATGTGTTCTTCCCCATCAAGGTTTGCTTGGCCACAGGAACAGAAGATGGTGCGTCCTGTGTCAGGTCCTCTCATCTAGAACTCTGGGCAGGATCAAGGGCGCAGAAAGACACCTTCCTGGGAGGGCTTTCCCGACCCAGGCCCCGCAGACATAACTCTGGGGGCTGAGGGCCCTCTGCGCTCCCAGTGAGTGAGCAGGAAAGGAGCGGGAGAGACTGTGCAACCCCAGAATTGAGGTCTCTGACTCTGGAGAAATTAAACTGGGCTGCAAACAACAGAAAACCATATAGCAGTGGCTTAAACAAGATAGAAGTTTCTTTCTTTCACACATAAAAGAAGTCTGAAGAGGGCATCTGGGCTGGTGTGGGGCCTCTGAGACTCGGGCTCTGTCTATATTTCTGCTGTACTACTCCAGCCGCGTTGATCCTCAAAATCACCTCATTGTCTGCAAGAGCTTCTAGCTCCAGCCATTACATCTGAATTCCAGCCATCGAGGAAAGTTTAAAAAAGGTCCCCTGTTGGGCTGGTGCTGTAGCGTAGTGGGTAAAGCCACCACCTGCAGTGCCAGCATCCCATATGGACACCAGTTCAAGTCCCAGCTGCTCTGCTTCTGATCCAGCTCCCTGGGAAAGCAGTAGAAGATGGCCCAAGTCCTTGGGCCCCTGCACCTGCGTGGGGGACCCGGATGAAGCTCCTGGCTCCTGGCTTCAGATTGGCACAGCTCTGGCTGTTGCAGCCATTTGTGGAGTGAACCAACAGATGGAAGACTTCTCTCTGTCTCTCTGCCTTTCTCTCTAACTCTGCCTATCAACTAAATAAATAAATCTTAAATAAAAAGGGGAGGGGTTCCATCATCCCTACCCTATAAGGACTTTTCCTGGGAGTTTCTGCAAGTGAGGCCGGAAGTTTTCTTCTACCTGAGCACTATGCTGCCTTGGACACAATCGAGAGTCCGTTGCCAAGGAAGAAACGGATTTGGGATGGCAATGAGCAGCCTCTGTCCCAGTCTCCAAAGCAGGGTCAGAGAATAAAAGACAGGGCTAGAACTGAAAAGACATGCCCCCCACCTCTGTGAGTCCAGGACCCTGGCGAAGGCCTGGACTCTCTCAGAGCGTCTGCTGTGGGAAGGTCAGTGGCGTGACGCTGTGAAGGGGTCACTGTGACTGCTCCTGCTATGGTTAGCACCCAGGGCCACTGGCTGGCTGGCTGCAGGGAGAAGGCAGAGCCAGGAGGGAGAGGGTGGACAGCGCCTTCTGAGACGAGCAGGAGGAAGGAGCTGCCGCCGCCGTGGCTATGCCCGAGGAGCACTCCAGCGAGCAGGGGTCTGTTCCCCCAGCGCCACGTGCCCAGCTCCTGTGAAAATGCAGCGTGTACAAAGGCCTGTGCTGCCTGCTTCAGTCCGCAGGCCCCAGACGGGCAGGCAAACAAACACGGCTCAGCGGGGGAGTCCCAAACACCCAGTGGAGAAGAAAAGGCCCCTGGGAACAAAAAAACCAAGTTCTGGGTCCCCACAGGGCCAAAATAACCTGCTGATTGAGTCAATCAGCCAACACGCTGGTCAGGCCGTGGGGCAGAAACCAACACCCTGGCCAGATCTATTATTTAGTAGTTTGTCACCAAGCAAAAAATAAAATCTATCCCCTCTCCCTAAACCCAACCGCGGGGTTGTTTGGCATTAGGAGTCACGGAGCCAGCTTGGGTCAGCCCAGGCCAAGTGGGATATTTGAGACCCACTGTCTCCAGTAGGGTGGCCAGGAGCTTGGGGAACGGGCAGCTCCTCTCCTGGGCCCCTGGACCCTAGGCCCTCGGGACCCGTGCTTCAAGGTACTGCAGAGAGTGGCCCTTCTCTGCCTGGGGCTGCTCCAGCGACCAGTACTCAGTATTCGCATGTTAAGTAGCTGCACACCCACAGCCGTGGTGGAATTCTATTCCAGGGGCCGCAAGCTTGGGGATCCCAGCGCCTCCTGGTGCTGGGTGTACCCCCTTCCCGCTCAGGCCCCGCCCCTCCGCCCGCCCTGTGCAAGCCATACAAAGTCTGCCATTTAGAGTTCAAAGACTAATTGGTTACAGCTCATGGAGGCTGGGGGGAGGGGCAGTACGAGCCTTGCTTTGGAGGCCTTTTGGCTTGGCACAGGTTAAGTGTATAAATTAGGCTTCTAGGGCTTTAGTTTCTAGTTCACCGTTCCCTTCACTCAAGACTGGAACCAGAACTTAAAAAGAAAAAGCAAGCCGGCGCCGTGGCTCAATAGGCTAATCCTCCACCTTGCGGCGCCGGCACACCGGGTTCTAGTCCCGGTTGGGGCGCCGGATTCTGTCCCGGTTGCCCCTCTTCCAGGCCAGCTCTCTGCTATGGCCAGGGAGTGCAGTGGAGGATGGCCCAGGTGCTTGGGCCCTGCACCCCATGGGAGACCAGGAAAAGCACCTGGCTCCTGGCTCCTGCCAGGATCAGCGCAGTGCGCCGGCTGCAGCGGCGGCCATTGGAGGGTGAACCAACGGCAAAGGAAGACCTTTCTCTCTCTGTCTCTCTCTCTCTCACTGTCCACTCTGCCTGTCAAAAAAAAAAAAAAAAAAAAGGCAAAAACATCTCATTGAAGCAAACATACATGTAGAGAATAATACACCAGGGAAAAACAGCCTGGAGAATGTTCTAAATTGAGCACACACAACACACGCAGGGAACATGTCTAGACCAGGAAACGGAATTGCAATCATCAGTCCCGGGAGCCCCCTACTGCTCTTCTCCAATAACCACTCCCCCACGGCGGCCCCATCCTGACCCCTAGCAACACAGGTGAGTGGCGCCTGGTTTTGAACTCTGTGTAAAAGGAATCATACCGGAAGTGCTCCCTCTATGTCTGGCTCCTTCCACTCAACATCGTGTTTGAGAGATTCACCCAGATGGCTGTAGGTGGTCGTCGTTTGTTTTCATTACTGCATAGTATTCCAGATGGCATTTCATCCGTCCTGTCGGGAACATTCACAAAAGTGCTGCTAAAATTAAAACTTTGTTTTCACAACCAGGTTCCACAGCCTTTTTTTTTTTTTTTTGATAACTTATTTTATTCTGGTAAAATCTACGTAAAGTTTGTCATTTTAGGCATTTGTAAGAGTACAATTCAGGGGGCCAGTGCTGTGGTGTAGCTGGTAAAGCCACTGCCTGCAGCACCCGTAACCCATATGGGTACCAGTTCAAGTCCCAGCTGCTCCACTTCTGATCCAGCTCTCTGCTGTGGCCTGGGAAAGCAGTGGAAAATGGCCCAAGTACTCGGGCCCCTGCACCCACATGGGAGACTCAGAAGAAGCTCCTGGCTTCCAATCAGCCTAGCACTGGCCATCGTAAGCATTTGGGGAGTGAACCAGTGGATAGAAGCTCTCTCTCTCCCTCTCTGTGTCTAACTGTGCTTTTCAAATAAATAAACAAATCTTAAAAAAAAAGTATAATACAATATAGTGGCACAATTATATCCACGCTGGTGTACAACTGTTACCACTATGTCCAAAACTTTTCCATCATCCCAAACAGGAACTCTGTATGCATTAAGCAGTAACTCCCCACTTTTCTGGTAACCTCTAATCTACTTGCTATCTCTGTGAATTTACCTACCCTTGGTATTTCATGTAAGTAGCATCACACCATATACTCCTCTCATTTAGCACAATGTTTGCAAGGTTCACGTCTGCTGCAGCACAGATAACCTCATTCCTTTTTGGAGCTGAATAATGGTTCATTGTGGGGTGCACGGCATCTTGCTGATCTGTCCTCTGGTGGACATCTGGGTCGTTTCCACCTTTCGGCATGGTAAACAGTGATGCAGCAAGCACTGCCTACGAGGATCGGACCTGCCACAGCCTTTAGCCGAGGATCTGCTGTGTGCCACAGGCTCAGACAGATACTCCTCATTAGCAGACTATCACATGCATGACGTGAGATTATCGTCCCCAGGTTACAGATGAGGAAACCGAGCCTCCAGAAAGTCAAGGTACTTTCCCAGGGTTGCAGGAAGGTCTAAGAGGCCAAGGTCACGGCTCCAATCCAGATCTCCTGTCCCCAAGTCCAGTGTCCTTTCCCTCGCCCCACCGTTCAGCTCCTGCAGCTCTCCTCACAGAGGAAGTTACGAGAATTGGGTTTGTGACCCGGTTCTTGCTACAGCTCCAGGTAGGAAATCTTTCCCCGGGAGCCCCTAAACCAGGCCTTGGGCTTTCTGGAAGCGTTCTCCTCTCTCCTGGCAAACAGCCAGGACAAGGCAAGGAGAGCGGCTTCTCCGCCTCTTTGACCCAGCCCTTAAATTTTGTGCTCTCCCTTTTCTCCTTTAAACCTACCGGTTTTGTCACACCTCTGCCTGCCCTCCTGCCATGAGCTGGGCCGCCCAGGGCTCGCGCCACATTTCTAAGTTTCTCTCTTGGTACAGAAACCCAAGAGATATCTAAGATCTAATTTGATTTTTTTTTCTTTTTTAATTCAGGGACACGAAGAAAACTGCTGGACCCGAAGTGTCTTCTTTCTCCACCATGTCACACACAAATCGGGAGAAAGACTCACCTACTGGTGCTGTGTCCTGTTTGGCTGTGCCCTGGTAAGGAGCTACATGTGTGACTTAGTGCCAACCCCGGGGCTTCCCGGCTTTGCTGGGGATGCGGGGGGTTAAGCATAACGCATAACCCAACAAACACCAGGCTCTGGAGGTAGGATGTGGCTGCAGAGGCGGGCTCCGGCACATATCCCTGCGCAGTGCCCAAGGCCCTTGTCATGCACCTGCAAATGTTTCAGGGTGGGGGGGCTAGATCGGGCCAGGGAGGGGGCCGCTAACCCCGGCAGGGCCGACCCGAGCCATTCCGGGGCTCCAGAAAGAGGCCACCGCCGGGCGGTAAATCCCTCTAAGCAGCGTGCAAGCAGCGATCGCCTTGGCGCCCCATGGAGGCCTTGGCTCGCGCCAACCTTCATGGAGCGGCAGGGTGGACGTGACGGGGCGAGGGGATGCGAGGCGCCGCCCCGGCCCCGGCTTCGCGGTCGGCGATGTCCCCGCGCCGTGCCGCGCCAGCCTCCCCGGGACCGCCGACAATGCGCCTTTCAGCGGCCGCCGCCCCCGCTGGAGAAGCCCCGCGCTGCGGCTCGGGGGGCGGCGGCTTTCCTCGAGGTGAGGGCTTCCGCGCCCGGGGAGGTGCAGCGGCCGTGCGCCCGCAGGCGCCGGCGGAGCCCGCCCGCCCGTGACTCAGCGCCCAGAGCGCGCCGCCGCGGGGGACCCCGCAGCCCGCGCCGGCCGCTCGGGAGTCGCCGCAGGCAAGGTCTCCGGGGCTGGTGTGGACACAGGCAGACGTCTGTGCATTTACACGCACGCGAGTATCCGCGAGTGGCGTCTGCCTAGACTTTTTACCGTATCTTTTCCAGCTCGTTATACCTCCTAGGAACTAGAGGGGCCGTCTAGCAGTCTTTTTAAAAATTACGGCCATGCCATTCATCCATTGACTGACATGCATAGCTGACTGGATTTTTAATTCTGGTAATTACACGCAGTGGAGCAGCCACCACCACGGCCAGTCGCACCTCTGGGCCCCCCCCCCACACACACACCGGCAGCGGACCCTGCCTCCCAACCCACCCCCGCCGCAGTGAATGAGGGTGCCATCTCCCCCATCACACCCCAGCAGCAAACAGGTGACACAGACAGGGACATGACTACCACCACTCTGCCCAGGGCCCCCTGAGGTATCTTTTTTTTTTTTTTTTTTAAGATTTTATCAATTTATTTGAGAGGCAGAGTTACAAAGAGGGAGAGACAGAGAGAAAGGTGTTCCACTGCTGGTTCACTTCTCAAATGGCCTCAACAGCCAGAACTGGACTGATCCAAAGCCAGGAGCCAGGAGCTTCTTCTTGGTCTCCCATAGGGGTGCATGGGCCCAAGCACTTGGGTCATCTTCTGCTTTCCCAGGTCATAGCAGAGAGCTGGATCGGAAGAGGAGCAGCCAAGACTCTGACGGGCGCCCATATGGGATGCCGGCACCAGAGGCAGAGGCTTAGCCTACTATGCCACGGGGCACAGCGCTGCCCCTGCCTGCCCAGGTGTCTTGTTACTGCAGTGTGCTCTCCTCCGAATGAACTGGAGCCGCTTCCCTTCTGTGCCGCAGCCTTTGCCTTTGCTTCTGCAGGAACTCTGTCTCGGGCTTTGAAGCACAGGCATTCCCGTGCGCCCAGAATGGCTGGGAAAGGAGGCGCTTGGAGCTAATGGCATACTCTAGTTAGTAGAGAGCTCCCTCATTTGTCACACCCAATGGTGAGCTTCCAAAAGATGAAATCCTAAGGACATGAACGTACTAATAGGACAGTCACAAAGAGGAGAGATCGGGGCCGGTGCCGTGGCACACTAGGTTAATCCTCCGCCTGTGGCACTGGCATCCCATATGGGCGCCGGGTTCTAGTCCCGGTTGCCCCTCTTCCAGTCCAGCTCTCTGCTGTGGCCTGGGAGGGCAGTGGAGGATGGCCCAAGTGCTTAGGCCCTGCACCCGCATGGGAGTCCAGGAGGAAGCTCCTGGCTCCTGGCTTCAGATCGGCGCGGCACAGGCCGCGGTGGCCATTTGGGGGGTGAACCAATGGATAAAGGAAGACCTTTCTCTCTGTCTCTCTCTGTATAACTCTGTCAAATTAAAAGAGAGAGAGAGAGAGATCAATGGACAATGGAGAGTGAATGTGCATTGGGGTGGGGTAAGTTACCTAACCCTTCTGCCTCAGTTTGCTCATCCGTGGACTAGGAATAATGGTGATTATGGTTGTTTAAAAGTTGGCAGTAATTTATTAAAGAACGCTGGGTCAGAGTACATGGTCAGTAAATGCTGGCCAGTTAGGACAAACATGGCTTGGGCCTTGTTCTGGTGCCTCTGGAGACAGGGTTAGCCTGACCCTCCAGCCACAGTGCGTGAAACTGGGATGGTTTAAACTTGCTGTGGGCCCAGTGATCAGACTACCAGGAACCGGTGTCTCACAGCCTTAGTACCATGCACATTTTGGGTCACATCCTTTTTGTTGCGACAGGCTGTCCTTAGCTTTGTAGAATGTTTAGCATGATCTTCAGCTTCTACTCACTAATGGACAGACACGCATCAGTCATAACAGTCCAGAATGTTCCCAGACTGGACTAGATGTCCACCACAGGGCTGAATTGCTCCTGATTGACAACCACTGATAGCAATCCTTTGGAAGACCCTTCCTGAAGGTTTCCACAGCAAGAGGGAAGTTCCCGCCACACCCCTGCTCCCTCTCCACAGGACAGCCCCTTTTTCCTCAGCTCCCAGAATTCCTGAGCAGGGGCTACATAGCAGCGAGGTGTGGGCAGGGCTCATCAGGGTGGATGGAGCAGACCCGAGCCTGCCCGCCTAACGGGTGGCCTGCGGAGCTCCCGGAGGTAGAAGCTGCCGTGTCTGCCCCCAGAGGCCGGGCAAGGCCAGATGAAATCATCCTGAGTGATGACAAAGGATGGTCTGTCATTTTTTCTTTTACAAACTGTTCTCGCACCCGCCCCCTCCCTGCAGGCTCGGGCCTAGGCAATCAGCAGAGCCGTGGTGTTAACTCTCACGTCTCTGCGGTTGACCAGACAGTCTATATATTCAACCCTTGCTGCACAGTTTCCACTCCCATCTCAAATAGGATACTTCATCCGCAGTGCAAACTCCTCATGGTCCCAAACACAGTTCCTTTTCTTTCCTTCTGATTCTATTCAATGGATATTTATCGGGGGCCTTAGCAAAAACTGCTTGTTGCTCCTCAGTGTCAGTCCTTCCTTTCTTCATTATTAACAGAACCCTGAACGCCATGCACAGCTTTAAAAAAATAAAAATAAAACAACTGTGTTTCCAGGCCTCCCTTGCAGCTCGGTATACCCATGTAACTAAGTTTTGGCTAATGACATGCAACAAAGGGGTGGCTGAGGACTTCTAGAAAGGTTTCTTCAGAGGTTAGGGGGACATAAGTACCC